CCCCCGACCCTCTTTCCACCTGTAACCCTTCCATTTCCTTTACCTCACCCCTCACCCTCAGGCCACCCCACTAAAAACATCACCAACGACTACCCCCCTCATGTCCACCAGCTGAGGGATGGTTACCTAAGTGTGGTTTATATCCTACAACAGAATGTTAACTGGCAATAAAAGGACTGAAGTACTGACACGTGGCACAACTTGAGCGACCCTTAAAAACATGCTAAGTGACAGAAGCCAATCACAAAAGGCCACACATGCTATGATTCAATTTATAGGAAATGTGCAGAATAAGGACACAAATAAGAGACAAACGGTACCTTAAGAGATTAATTAATAGTAGAATAAGAAACAAAAAGTAGATTAGTGTTTGCCTAGGTCTTGGGGTTGGGAGGGGAGGAGTAACTGTTAATGGATACAGGTGATGAAAATGTTCTAAATTTGTAGTGATGGTCGTACAAATCTGTGAATGCACCGAAACCGCTGAACTGTACTTTTTAAATGGGTGAATTGCATGGTTTGAGAAATTCTATCTCAATAAAACGTTACAAGAAAAAAACACCCAGAAAACAAAAACTTGCTGATAAATCCAGTGGTCACGTTTCAGTCCTCAGCTGACCTGACCTCACAGCATGATGCTAGGTAATCAGGGCACCGTCACTCAGGACCGTACTGCTGTCCTCGTCTCTAAAAGCCTTTCTCCGTGTGGGTTCCACAGGGTCTCCCTAAAAATGTACTAAGCCTGTCACCTCAGCCATTTGCGGAACACAGTGATTCTGCACGACACGACCCACAGGATGAAGAGCCAACCTGTCATCATGGGACAGACACACCGGCCCTTTATGGTCTGGCTGCCGGCTGGCTCCACGGCAGGGCTGGCAAACCTGTCCTGGAAAGGGCCCAGCAGCACATACGTCAGCACTGCTCAGCTTTGCCCCCGGGGAAAGCAGCCACAGACAATATGGAAATGATATTCCAGTGAAGCCTTTTTCTTTAAAAAAAAGAAAACAAACAAACAATAAAATAGGTGGGTAGACTTGCTCAGGGGCTGTAGTTTGCTGCTCTTAGTTTCAGACCGTCACCTCTGGTCATTCCTTTGACTTTCAGAAGCTGTACTGATTACAGTCCTTGTGTTATAATCCAGCCCGTCTCTAAAAATGTGTTGGATAGTAAATATTAAATATCAGGCGTTCCTATTCTACTATTTCAAACAGTGGAAATAAAAATGCATTCCTAGATGATCCAAAAACCCTAACAAGTTTCCCCCGAATACCATGAAAAACATTAACCTATCTGTATAACATCACACCCGGGTTCTTGGACAACATAAAGCATGGACTTCATTTATTATCATCTCAGTAGTTAGTGGCCACGGTGTGCGCACTGTGCGCGGTACTTTACAGAACCAGGGAGAAGTTACATCTTCCTTCTGTACTGCAAGAAACACCCCAGTATGAAGAGAAACGCGAACTAACTTGAGGAAGGGATCTTCTGAACTGGGCCCAGTGCCTGGCAGAAGTGGGTGCTGGGAGCCAGGAAGGGGGCAGAGGACATCTCCTCACTCTGATGAGCCACGCTGGCCAGGAGGCCCGAGGCTGGACCGCAGCACCCACACGATCCTCCCACCTCCACCCGCCAGACACTGCAATGGGCTGCTGACTCAGACGGTGGACTTGGGGTAAAACTTTTTGTCTGTCATGACCGTGAGTACTTGATAGTTAGTTTGAGTACCGGGGAATCCTTGCACACGTCCCCAAACGCACCATGCTCTGTAAGTTACGACTGGTGGAATGAATTCATTCATTCGTTCAAAAACCAAGAATCATTAATTTTCAATTTCCTATGGGAATAACCAGATGATTTTCCGCCTCACTTGCAACAGCTGGGCATAAGTTTCAATTACTGATTTTAGTGGGACAGTTGCCAGCCACATCCTGTTAGGATCAGCAATTATCAACACTATTTAAGTGCAAAGAAGCAAACAAAATAACCTTGTATGTAAACGTTTCCATAACTTAAAACGCCAGTCATCAATTAAAAAGAAAAAAAAAGAAGAATCCCTTTCTTGGGGGACTGGACCCGAGCTGTGGGGAAGAGTCCCTCCCAACGTAACTGGAGCCCCACCTCCTGCGCCCCGCCTATGGCAGCCCACAAGCTATGCCACGGTCTGAACGTCTGCATTTCCCCCAAACCCCACACACTGTGACGGCGTCAGGAGGTGGGGCCCCTGGTGCTTAGGGCACGAGGGTGGAGCCCTCGTGAATGGGATTAGAGCCCTTGCAAAGAAGCCCCACGGAGCTCCCTCGCCCCCTTCTGCCATGTGAAGACCCAGGGAGCAGGCACCAGCTCTGAACCAGGAAGGGGGCCTCCACCAGATAAAACCACGCGGTGCCCTGATCTCAGACGCCAGGCTCCAGAACTGTGAGAAGTCAATTTCTGTTGTCTGTAAGCCACCCAGTCTGTGGGATCTTGTTACAGCAGCCTGAACAGACTAAGGCCAGCACTGCTCCACTTCAACAATAAGTGGGACTGGCCTCAGTGGGTACCTTCGTCCTGCTCTGACTCTAATGAGAAGGTGTGTTTTGAAAGTTTCACCATTAACTAGGAAGTTTCCACTACGTTATATAACTAAATTTTCCTTTCATTTACAATAAGGGGTAAGGTGTGTTTGTACAGATGGTGTATACCATCAGGTGTAACATTCTGGTTACTACCGTAATATCCTTAAGTGGCCAATTTTCAAGAATCTGCATACAACATATATACCACAAACTACACTGAATGACTACGGCCTTCCACCTCACAGCACTTTGAAAAATTTATAGAACCTTAAAAGAATCACTTTTAACACTGATTATCAACAAGAGCAACTGTGAAAAGACAAAATATTTACAGTACTCATACCTGTGCTAGCAGATAAACAGAATTTTATATCATGCTTCCCATGTTTTCTACACTGTATCAATAATTTTTTAATGTACGTAACTGTGTATGAAATGTACAGTGCTATAAAGCAGTTATTATGTAAGAAAACACGATTCAGGGGTTCATCAAAATTACTTAAGCAATTCTGAATAAAGACCTTCAATGAAGCAGGCGGTACTTAAGCAATTCTGAACGAAGACCTTCAACGAAGCAGGCGCACCGAGTCTCCTCGGCCCGCGGTCGGAGGCCCGTCGGGGCGGGCAGGTACTTTACCTTTCCGAGCATCCTGCCCAGGAAGTAGTAATGTCTGGCAAAGGGCTCCCCCACAAGCATCTGGGCAGCTGGGTTGGGGTACAGCAGCCCTTCGTTAGTGGTCTTAAAGAAGCCCTGGTTGGGGTTAAACCCCGACTTCAGTAGTTCATTTAGAAACTCTCTGAAAATCCCACCACCGTCAATGCCAGCTTCGTCCAGGCCATGTGCATTGAGCAAGTGCACACGGATCCGCTTTTTCAAATCAGGCTCTGTTAAAAGAGGGGGGATGGGGCAAGGAGAAAATATTTTTTTAAAAAGCAATAAAATAAGCTGGTATTACAGGAAGTTAGGTAAGGGGAGCAAGAATATTAAAAATATTTTAATGCAAGACTTAAAAAAAAAAAATCAACATTAAAAAGAGACAATGAGACAGACTGACCAGTATTTCCCTCAGAGCCCACAATGGGAAGAGAGACATTCCTTTGCACTGATACTGACAGATCAAGAATGGAGTGAG